ACAACTATTTTCTTTTACAATCTTTGCACTGTCCAACTGTTTAGTTAGCATAACAATCGTTAGCAATAAAAAAGAGGATCAAAATATAAGTTCAAAATATTTGTGTCAGCAAGATCTAATTATGGGTTCGCATGAACACAAGCGTACTAGAATCACTAGTATTATAAAAGAATGAAATAACTTTCACGTGTGCCTATATCTGAAATCGTAACGTATGGTGTAAGGTTTCAATACTTGACGATACTTTCCATGAATTTTGTTTTCATTTCTTGAAAACGATTTGTTGCATTTAACCTGTTAACTGTAGAATTTAACCCCTTACGCTGTGATTTATTTCCCAATTGCGCACAATAGAGGTACATTATTATTCATAATTCATTAGAAAAACAGAAAAATTCTACACTTATTCCATGTCTACGTTTACTCAGAAGCATTACAATTAATTATAGACAAATAATATTTAATTCGGCCTTGAAAAAATCTCTGACAGTGCTCGCAATGAAATCAAATAATGTGTAAACACTCCTCTAGCGTAGGCTAAATGCACCTGTAGTATATTCTGACGAAAAGTTAAAACAAAGAAGAAGAATTACACGTTTATCTGAAAACATAAACAATTGACGTTGAAAGAATTCGTAACATTTTGATTTTAAGATGACGTCTATACTGGTCGAACGCAATTGACTGGTTAATAAAATATTGTAACTACGAAGCTTGCTATTGAAACAACTGGTCGCGAACGTGTAAATTCGTATAATCATTTGTATAGTCAGCTTTCGGATAAATAGCATCGCGCTATGCTTGTTTCCGTTGATTCTGAAGCAGGCCTTAGCGTCAACTCTAATCAGGAGCCGATACGGTGGTCGGAACACGTAACACTGACAAAAAGAAAGACGTTCTTACCGTGGACAAGATGGCGAGCCATTTCAGGGAGTTACATTTCGCCCAAGATTTTTAAATTACTGGATTATCTCGATGGAAAGTAGCTGGCGTAGCAACCATCCAGAGCGCTTAGTGTCGGCTTGCGGCCGGCGGTTCGTGCGGTTTTAAGCTCGATTATGTCGACGCCTCTGACGCTTCCGTTCTTTGTCCTTCTCCTTTCTTTTCATTTTTTAAAAGGAGAAGATTTATGCTCAGCACTGAGCAGATGACTGAAATTCTCTTGTCCCGTGAACTGCATTCCTCACGACGACATTCTGTCCCCGACCAGAATGATCTGAAATAATGTATAGTATTCGAAGTGAAAATTCTTATATAAGTGCATATTGAATTATTGCAAAAATCGTATTACGTACTGCAAAATAGAAGTTTATATAATAGTATTAGTATAGTATTGAAATATAGATGAATATTTAATGTTCATTTATTATATCCATAGTTAAATCTCTAGTCTAATAAATAATAAGGATATCTGACTAATTATAATATAATGATCAGATTTTTTCATACTATTACTCACTCGGTATTACTCTTAATTATCAATATTTTATCATTAGAACTTAATTCATTAGCACAATAAATTTTTTATAAGAGTTATTTATTTATATGCTACCACAAATGATATCGGTATTAATTTATTATTTAGCACAAGGTCTACGAACAATTTGATGCACATTGGATTTTATAAATATTATTTACCAATGTTTATCTCGATTTTGATCGATCCGATTACACGAATAGGTATCCTAAATGTCCACCTTCAAACCTTTAATTACCAAGACCTAAATAAACGAACGTCAATTTTTCTAAGAAGAATAGAGTAAATTGTGTATTCAAAGTGGGTTCAAATTATTCTTGAATTTTTATGTATTTCTTTGGCACAAAAGGACGTCGTATGGTTTTGGAGGTCACACTGTGAGTGAGGGAAAAACTTCTGAGGGCATGGCAGAAAGTCTGTTACCCACTTAAAAGAAAAAGACCAGGATTGCATGTAGTCTATGTGCCAAGCCCTTAGGTATAAACAATTACAGGCCAATGACATCTGGTCTGTTATATTATTTCGGCTAAAAGCAGTGTTTCTTATAAGTAATACAATTCATTTTTGCTTAATAGCTAACTTATTATTAATACTTTCGCGACAATGGACGACATATCTCAGTTACACGATGTCGATGAAACAATGCTATTGACGAGATATCTCGCCACCATGATGTCGACGTAGAATACTGTGGATGAAATATTTAGCGTATCTTTGTTATTAATATTAAGCGTGACACAACTAATTGATTTTTAAGACATGTCATCGTTGGTACTTCCACCATGTGGAGTATTTTATATTTATCATCTTTAAACACCTGCCACCAACGATGATATGTTTTAAAAATCGATTACTTGTGTCAAATGTTTAAATAAAACACTTCAAATCAATAATAAATATACACAAGATACCTCGTTCATAATATCGTTTCTTCGACATCGTGTAACGGAGATATCTTGTCCATTGTAACGAAGGGGTTAATAACAATCCAACAGGGTACAATAAATGCTCGTAAGTCCAATATGATGTGACCAAACGATCATTTAAAAATTCTTCGGCCGCCCGATATACCTGATCACGAAGTTAACACAACCGCGTCATTACTTAATCCGCAGTGAGCCGGCAACGTTTCCAACAAAAACGGTTACAGAAAAGCGATTTGGACAGCTTCTAACGATTCGCGTAACAATCGGTCGGCTGAACCGGCTCCGTGACGGACGTGAGACAATGCACGGCCGAGATATGACACCGCGCAAGAAGTCTCGTGTCAATTCGTTCAATTGCAAGAAGCGGGAACACTTTCACGCCGTGAGTTATGTCACCCGATTGTGTACTCGGCCGGCGACAGCGCGGAAAGTGTGAAATCGCTCGTGCGGCACGCGTCGCGCCGCGCCGGCACAATTCATCCGATTTAGCGGGTGTTCCTTGCTCCATGACGCGACAAGCGTCGGATCCATTGACATGGGCCTGACAACTCTTTTCATCCGTGGAATGAAAACCTACGCCGAGTGGTTCACGTAGAAAGCAATTCCGTAGCGAGAAAGTTTCGGTATTGATACGTGATCGTTGTAGATACCGGCGAGTCGATTGTCACGACGAGATGAGAGAAGTCTCTGTTGATGAACGATCGTTACTTTTGACAAATTAAGACTTTCTTTGACGTGTAATTATTTATTCAAAAATGTTTAAAAGCCAGAGTGATTTATGTAGCTTCAAGAACGTTTCGGATAATGAAAATCTGAAATAGAATGTAGCTTGAAAGATTTTAAATGAAATATTTAGAACTGCTACGTTACGTGTTCGAGAGATATTTTTAGTAGAAGTAGGTTCATTTCTTAGGTTAATCAATGAAAACACTGTTTCAAATGAACATTTCGATTCCTTTACGGTGGTTTGTATTAGTAAAAATTGTCTTTTCTTGTTAGAGGACGTGGGATGTGTTAAATGAAATGAAATTGTTAATGTAATTTGTCAAGCTTTTTAATGTGTAAAAGACTGTGCCTTATGCTACGTAATTCTACCCAATTATAAACGATTTCATGGCATTCTGGTCCACAACTTTCAAATTAATTTAATACATTTAGGGGAAATAAAGGACAAATCTTACGTTTACTACTCTCCGAAATTCAATAGTACCGCAAATAATACAATTTCTTTAATCAATTTTGATTGCAAAGAATTATTTATATTAATTATTTGTATTAATAACCAATATTGTGTAATATCACTTGCAACTAGATGAATAATATGGCTCTTTTGTTTATAAAATCGTACATATGAAAGCGTATTTTTTGTAATCTTTTGTGTAAAAAATGGTTTGAGAAACATCCAAGTGTCGTGTATCACCTATCAACAAAAAGTGGAATAAAATGTGAAGAATCAATTTATGTCGATGCTAGAAGTACCGGTCAGACAAAGTGACCGAGTAATATCTTAGAAACATCACATAAGTACATATCCTAACACTAAACGTACCGAAAATTTATATACACCTATTTCTAAAGTAACCAGTCGAATAACTGATTACAAAATAAAAGTAAACAAATTAGATGATTGATTTTTCTTAGTGGGAATAGAAACAGCAAGAAAGATAAAAATCAGAAGTCTGATTAATCGGGGAAGATAGGAGTATATGTAAAGTTAAATGGACAAAAGAAACACAAAATTTTTAGTCAAATATTGAAACCAAATTTAACCGGTCGCGGTACGTTTAGTATTAAGATTTTGTACATTTCCACTATATATGAAGAAATTTAGCTATTTAATAATTTCTTACAGAAACTTTTTTATGATCTAAGACATTTTAAATAAATAAAATTTCCCAAAATAAAGCATTTCGACCCGTTTGATAGATCGGGTATTGTGCGTTGTTTAAGAAATGAGCCCCAAGAGAGCACAGGGGCAAGAGGGATCTCTCGCCACGTGTTTTGTGTGTGGATTTAATTGGTCACGTGTAACCATATTCACAAATAGCAATTTAGTATCGAAAGTAAGGTAAAGAAAGACGAAAGCTAACCAATTAGACCTGCATTCCTTTCACAGTTCATGTCTTGTGCAACGCACAGTATAAACATGAGTGTCAAATATAATACACAGCAGAACCATATTCCTTCGCAACCTTTCCTAGTGAATGTACATCTAAAAATTTCCTAGAATAACGAACTGTGTTTAACAACTGTACACCAAACAGATGACCGTTTGCTGAAAAACAAGAAACTTCAACCGTCCACACACCTCTAAACTAATTCTCCAGCCGCGAACAAATTCCGAGTGGTTTTTCGGCTCATCCAATTCCGACAAACAACAGTGTTACAAACGAGCAACTTGCAGTCAATTTTAAAACTCGGTGGTTCGAGGTTGTTACGAAATTTCTTGGCTCGTCGGCATCTGCCTCGACATCCCTTCTGCCCGGGAAGAAAATTTGCGCCAGAGTTGAGTGGGAGGAGGCGGATAAAGCAGCCTCAGAGGAAGTTGACCAACAAACAATCGAGATCGATATCAGTGGATCAGGATCATCGGCGATATGTGGCGTGGTCTGTTCGTGCTGGCCCTTTTCGTCTATTGCGGTTCCGCTCGACCTGTGGACCGCGAACGACGGTCACCTTTGAGCGATATTCAAAGCATGCAGATCTATCGTCGGATCGTTCGCGAATCGACGCCCTTAGCCGTTGCCACGGAAGTCGAGGACCTTCTTGGTGAAGGAAATGCTCCAGGCAAGGAACAGACGTCGAAACAAACTCAGAAAAATGCATCTGGTATGTTAAAGATGTTTTCTTTTCATTGTTAACCCTTTGCACTCGATTTATTTTTAAGAAAACGAATTAAAATAATTTATTATTATTATAAGATTCAATTTTTATAATTTTTTAAAGTGTGGTTCTTTTCAAACCAATTTTCAACGGTCCATAATAAATTTGTATTGTCATCTCCAGCATGACATATGAGTGCAAAGGGTTAACACGTTTACGACCACGCGTCACATATGTGTAGCAGTAATGATGAGTTGTCAACACTGCCCCACATTAGTAATCAATTGTAAATAGAGAAGAGCAGTAATTAACCAGGTTCTAAAAAATAAAAAAAAGAAGGACCTAACCTATGAACAACTGCGTTACCACGCAGTAGGATATTAATTAAGAAGTTTGTGAACATAGTTGTAAGAAGAAATCATATTGTTGAATAACGTGGATTATTGATAAAATCTATTATTATGATAAAATCTTGTTCAATTTATTTTGCGACGCTCCACATAAGTATGTGTATTGAAATGCATGATGTTAACATATATTTGGCGTATGGTAACCTTATGATCGCTTTGGTTGTATCAAAATATACATATATAAAATTTATGTAAAATACTTTGTTTTACTTATTTACTATGTTTTAAACGTGTAAAAATTATATAAATAACATACCACGTGAAACAATTACAAAAAAGGCATGGTCCACAGTGAAGGTATTTCAAATTCGATCATGGACGCGAACGTGTTAATTTATGGCAGTATTTTTCAACTTTCCTTCCGAAATGTTGAATAAAATGAAAATATGAATATTTTATAATAAGTATGAATATTCCATAACACTTGCAAGTCAGGTCAAGCTCGAATTTGAAATACCCGCGCTGTGGACTGTGCTTTTCTCGCAATTGTTTCACGTCATATGTTATTCATATAATTTTGATACATTTAGAACATAGTAAATAAATCAAACAGAGCTTTTTACACAAATTTCATATATTTATGATATTTTGATATAACCAAAGCGGCAATAAGGTATACTGTACGTCAAATATATGTCAATATTATCGTAGGAATGGCAGTTAACAGCGTTACACATACGTGACGCTGAGTTTTCTAAACAAATCGCTGTATCACACATATGCGACGAAAGTTTTTAATATAGATATAGATGTTTAATATTTAATTACAATTATTGATATTAATGTAAATATTTTTTAGCTATATGTTGAAATTCATGTATTGATGAACGATGAACGTCTGCGCAGTAGAGGACTGTGTGCGCGTGTGTTTTTGAATAAATGTTCAAGGCATTGGAATATCCTGGACTAAGTTGACTTTCTGTAATATTTATTCTTATATGTTAATGATGTTCATGTTAATCGAATCACGAATATTTCAAATGTACGTGAAGTTAATGCATGGTGACGACAGAATATTCTAAAAGTGTGCGAATGAGATGAATGTATCCGAATATATATATATATATATACATATATATATTATGCACTCGATTTGATTTAGATTGATTGTTTTATTGCAAGTTGTGTAGTAAAAGTGTTGTTTATACAAATAAAATATTCTCTTTCTCCCACATATATAAATATCTTTAGAACGAACATGAAATTTCTTTTTCTCTAATAGATAATTAAGTATAAAGTATCTCTCGTGTTCATATACGTGAAAGAAATTGTGATGGTTAGGGGTCGGCGACAATGAGATCCACTTGAAAAGACAGATTTAATAACTTTCGACTGATCTCCATAGAAATTACCTACCTTTTTATATTATTTTCACATTATTAATCAAATGGCCTGAAATTACAGAAATTCAAATAGCAGTTGAACCATTCGTGAAGATAGAAACTGAGTAAACATTAATTTCCTTTAATAAAAAGTTTATTAGTTTGCAAGAAATGTATGCAATTTTCTGAACGATAGGACTATAAATATTTAATAGAATTATTATTTTGTTCGTGACGATATTTAAAATTAATATTCTTTCTATATTTATGAGACCGAAAGTGTGAACCGCCACGCGGTTTTGCAATTAAAATCGACTAACGATTGCAGTATACGTCTGTTTCCCTTGATATTATTCCGTTTTTATGATTAATGAATTGATCAACTCTGCGACATATTTATTTGAGGAAAATACGATATAAAGGACACAAATTAAAACTATACAAAGAAATTTTCAGCTTCTATAAAACTATTTTTAACTCTACATATGCAATAGATTTTTTTGAAAAGAAGGCCTGTGCAGTACATAACGTACATTGCTGTTAATTTATTTCAAAAGTGTCATACAATTTTTATTTTGTTACACACATTACACTTAAAAATTGCAAAGTAACATTCGCATCTCAGATTAAGAAACAAAATCATTTTCTTTGAGACGCTTTTTCTTTTAACGAATCATTTACAAGCAATTCTAAATCTTTAGAGGAAGATGGTGGAATTAAATGACTCACCTTGTATATAATAAATATATTAAACTATAATTAAATTAAATTATATTGTTGCAAGTTTTGAAGCAAAGTTCTTGTTCATTTGTATTCAAATCTTAAACATGAGAAAAGAATCACTTTCATAGATTTCATGTCTCACAATTGTTTTGTGCAATCGCATCAGAATTCTATTAGAAGAAATTAAAGAATAAAGCCTTAACATAAACATTTCCTCGAAAACAAAGCTTAACTTTTTGGGGACGACGTCGTTACAGAATGCTAACCCTGATTCTGTTCCTAGCATCCTTATTTTTTTTATTAGAATTTAATTATCATTTCTTCTGCTTTTTATAGCTAACCCTTAAACTACTATGTACCACTATATTAGTTTCCATGGATTTCATCACTCTGAACCTTACGTCATCACTATAATCGCTTTCGTATGTATTTTTTTAACGGTACACCTCCATAGTAACTTATTTCTATCTCGGTCATCAATAGGTTACATCATTGTCTACAGTGTTAGGCAAAAGGTATTCAAAATAACGACTAAAGAATATTATTAGTGGATAACTAATAATTAATAAATTCGTTATTCACAAATAATAAATAAATTGAATTTATTCGTAGTTTTATATTCGTTATTTTGAACAATCCCTGTCCAATGCTGCATACAATAACATAAGAAACGAGAATGATATTACCTTTCCATCAACTGAATTTGTAAATGGGAATAAGAAATGCCGAATAGTAACTAACGAATAAAAGTTCCACTCACGAATAACAAATAATTTGAATAATAAATAATTGAATAACGATTATCTATGCATTCGTTGTTGTTATTTAAGTAAAGATTTATGCTTATAATGCTCAATGTAGCTTATCTACTCTAACGTAATTGCTCAGTGAAAAATTCCAGCAGTCTCAAATCGCAATACTACACTCTCGGACAAAAGTTTGGGATTAATATATCGGTTAAAGGAAAAAGTCTCATTTTTTAAAACAACTTTTATTGGAGAATTATTCCGTATGATAAAGGACCATGGATATATGTGTATTAGCCAAATATAAAAGTATATAATTTTTGTCATTTTATTTTATATACTTACGAAATGCATAATTTTTAATATGTGACGTTACACATAAAGTGGTTCCAAACTTTTCATCGGCAGTGTACATTTATTGCACTCAATCTACATCAAACCTCATTATACGTGGATACAGCTTCGCAACCAGTCCTATTCTAGCTGAAGATTAAGTAGAGTCCCAAAGTATAAAAAATTCTAAATTATCGATAAAACATAATAATATCTATAACGGAGTAACAAGAAAAATCGAAAAAATTAAAAGAATCTAGGGACGTTATCTGAATCTGGATGTTATCTTTAACCTATTAGGCTCTATATGCAACTATAGTGGCTTTCGCAAATGTTATCTTTTCGAACGAAGCGTCACTATACCTGTATCGTGTGTTCAAAAAATGATGTAAGACGAAGAGTACGTTACGATTCTCAAAATTGTGACGTCGGACTATATATATCAGACCATACTTTAAAATATTATTAATAATAAAATATTATTAATTAATTAAATATCAATAATTTTATTAAAGCATATATGTTCATATTATCTTGTTACGTTTAAAGAAAAAGAGAAAGTATAATTTGATATGAAATATACTATGAAAAAGTGTGTCAAACAAAAGTTACACGATATGAAGTACTACATACCACAGAAGGAAGTATTTGACTGTTATGTAACCTTGAAACGTCTTGCTAAGGTTATGTTACAATTCTTAAAAAGAACCCCATTTTTATCTCGGAAACTATTGACTTTTGGACCTATGTTTACTAAATTGTTTTTATTCAGTTTAGTGAATTGTATGCTCCCTATCATTTGTGAGGAATAATTTAGAAACATCCTGTATATATAATATAAATATAATATTAAACGAGGAGTACCGTACGAGTATTAAAATTAGTGTAAGTTAGTCGAAATCTCAGTAGATGCACTTTCAGCGTTCCTATAAAGAAAAATTAGAAAAAGGCAATTCGATTGCTCGGTAATTTTAGTGCCAAGGGATGAGGAGATTCCCGGCAAGATCCCGCGAGGTCGGCAGTATCGCGGGCAATAACGAGGATTAATAACACGGCGGTTCCAGGGAAATCTGACGAGGGAGGATACTACAAGACGTATGGCAGCGACGCCGAGGGCGAGAAGGGTTACATGAAGGCAAGCTACAGCAAGGGCAATCACGGTTATAAGACCCTCGACACCTTCCACAAGCGGGACGGCGACAAGTACGCATTCGAGAAGCACATTGCCTTCGGCAAGGCGCGCGCTGACAAGAAAAGTGGCGACCACGAGAAGGATGAAGGTTCCCGTTCTCAGAAAGGCGATGATCACGAGGGAGCAGGTACGGCTAGACTACACAATGTAGAGCACATAAATGTACGACGGTCAAGGGTAGAAACAACAGAACGGTGCTGGGAACTACTCGCTAATTTGCGAACCGGGGAACATGAATTTTTAATTGAACCATCTTTAACGATGCTAACTTTGTAGGATTAGAACTTATGCTCGCGATATTATTATTCTTGCCAAGAAACGTTTATCCTAATCCACCTCGGTTGCAGATTCCTTTTTGCTGGGAACCGGCAACGCGAAACGTGTTTACCGGGAAGGTGATGCAAGTTTTTGAAACTAACTTATGAAAACTGAGTGTGTGGTTTTGTATTCTGAAGATTATTATACTCGAATTGTCAGGGCTGACGAGTATTGTGGATGTAGGGGAATATTTTCATTGGAATGGTTGTGAATGTTAAAATTTATAAATTGCTGAATTAACCTGATTTTAGATTGAAGTTTACAATTAAACAAGTAGAGGATTTTAATTTGAATCGAATCATATACACAGAAAAGAGCAAATGGAGAATCATTTGAAAGTTTTCTTTGCTAAATATGTCATATGTGTACTAACGATTATAAGTATGAAGGTATCTACATATTTCAGATTAACATTTATTTTCCAAATAAAAAATTGAATTATTTTATTTAACAAAGAGGCAGTGAGAGTCGCAAAGGGTTTATTCACGTATCAAGGTTAACATAGTATCTATAGCGAATCTGAACTTCCCATTTTCTGTTTCATTATATAAATTATTTTTGATACTAGTTTAACAATCAACGTATTAAACAGTTAATTTTTTCATCACAGAATGTTTGCAGCATAATTAATTTTAAGACCTAACGTTAATCAGCCATTTCTTACTCTTCTCAGTTAGAGCAATAAACACTTAAGGCAATAGACTTCTTCTTTCCAATACCTCGTATAATTATCAATTTTTCGCCCACGGTAAAAGTTTCTCCAACCCTCAGCGAGGAAAGAAAACTTCTCTCGCGCATCAGATTCAGGCTTTCAGTTCCGCGATACAACTCACCAAGCGTCAATCGCAGCCTTTCTTCTCAAACTTTTCGCCTATCGATTGCCGATAAAATTACATCATGCGTACAACAATATTAACTGAACACATGGGTGGGTTCGTTCCACATTAATTTCACGAGCCGACCATTTAATTCATTATTTCCTAGCTGAGTAGCTTTATCTAACCCTACTTTTGAGACTCCTTTGGCTGTTTTAGATCCCTATAAATTTCGCCATCGTTCGAAGAAGCTGTAACATAAAATAAATGCGATTATCGTGGAATATTATTTCTGGTTGGTTCACGAACCGCGTCGTATGCTTGTCTAGGTACCATCGTCAGTAGTCATTATACCGGCGACGACGGGGGCCATTACGATGAACACGGCGATGCCGGCGATCACGGGAGCTATAGCGAAGGCGACAGTGCCCACTACACGGATCATGGACCAGAATATTCAAGTTACAGCCATGGCGGCAGCCACATGACTGGAGACGAAGGTGACGGTTCTTACGAAACCCACAGCTCCTACTCGAGAAGTTACGGCGATGGAGATGAGCACCAGGGCGACCATTATTATTAATCATCCGAAAACTTGTGTAACGTCGTGACATCTTCTATTATTTCGGGCTGAAAGTGTAGGATCAGATAGACTAAGCTTCTGTCGTAAAAATTATTCACACATTATACGTGAAAAATATTTTCATTAACGCTAGAACTATCGAGGATTTAATATGATTGATATGTAATCCTTGTGAAAATTGTAACAATGAATTATTTTCAGTTTCTTCGGAGATTCATTAGAATATTCGAGTGAAACTACTTGTTTTTAAAATCGTTTCTATATTCCAGTCATTTTGACTGGTACGGTAGTTCTACTGTTAATTAAGGGAGATTGATATGTATAGAGGTTTGATATATTTTTATATTACACACATACAAAACAAGAGAAAACCATACGCTTTAAGATAAAGTGCTATTAACCTGAACTTATTTAAGTAAAGAAAGTGCATTTTAATGCCGGAAAGTGTTTCTGTTTTGTTTGTATAAAATTTTTGTTACTGTATAGTGATGTTTATGAGATATCCTTGATTTTTCGTGAAAATATATTGAATATTACACATTTGTGGCAATTCTCGTTGCTTCCAGGTTAAGATTATGTATTATTAAATTAATTAAGGGAGATTTGATATTATATATGCATCGTACGTCCCCAAACGAAATTAACGTTACATCATCTGTAACAGATATTCTCTAGGAAATAAATTATGATGGAAATTTGAATATTTTAATAGATGCACCCCGCCCCTTCGCTGATTAAATGAAAATTCAAGGGTTGTCAGATGAATTCACCCAATGATATTAAAATGCTATACTTCTGCTTATTAATGGAAATAACGAATAAGAATGAGGGTGAAAAAAGTACAAAATTGATAAGATTAATATAATAATAATAACTTGTAGAATATTTATTAGCTATATATACACAATAGTTGCTAGAAAATATGTAATTAAATACATATGCAGACTTGTACATATAATTATGTTATGTATAGAATCAGTAAGAAGTGTTATACCAAAAGCAGCAAAATTTGAAAAAGATTTACGTTTCAATAACAAAATTCAACGTCCTACATAAAAAATAAAATCTAAAATCTGCTCGAGAGGTAACGAGTTCGTTGGACAGAAAATGTTCAATAAATTGAAAAAACATATTGATACCGGATATTCATATCGAACGATGGGTCGAGCGGGTCTTTTACATCAATTGAAGATAAATCAATTAAAACCAACAGATTACAATGGGAACAATCGAATCATTATTGAAAATGTAATCATTTCAAGCTGCATCGGAAAGCGACTTCCGATAATGGCAGTATCGATCGTTTTGTTTTGCGAAGCGATTGTAATTCGATGCACTGTTTATTAAACGTTTCCTACAATAAATGCGTAACTAGAGTTATTCATAATGTGATCAAAAATCGATCGACACGTTCAAACGGTATCATGTAGCGGTATAATATGGATGCCTTTAAAGTCGTCAATTCCGCGATGCTGTGTAACGGTTGCATCGGCGGCGCAACCAATTGTTATTTTGTAATAAATCGCACACCAATCATTTCGGAAATACATCGTGTTTATTCCGTAACGAATGCCTGGGCGTAATTCTGATTCTGTCTAAGGGCCGGCGCGTTGTTATTGCACAATTTAATACTGTTACGCTTCTATTGTATCGATCAATCGATCTAAATTGCAATTAGTCAATTGAATCGGTCATCCCGTTACATTATCTTTGTCTGCCCGAAGTCGATTATTGATAGCCAATTTATGTTCGCCGTATATGAAGTAATTGGTATACGTAGCATTTCGAAAATGTTGCTATATATTGCACAAATTAAAGGAAGTACATACCTTGAACATTTTCAGTTTTAAATTGAACTGATTTCGTTGAATTCAATGAATTTTAGCACTTTTAACTAGGGAGATCGTTTTCTGTAACCTTAATGGTGTAATAAATTGAGAATGTAAGGAATGTTTCGCGACAATAGGATTACTAATAAATCTAGAGAGCTCTGATGTAACGATGTTTTATTGGAATACTCGTACAGTATCGGAGTTGTGTAATGATTGTGGTTTTTGCGGTATCTGCTGTGTCTACAGTTCGGCGTGCTTAGGTACATTGGGGTAAATTGATACAGTGAATTTTCTGAATACTGGTTTTCCGGACTAGTTTTAAGAACATTATTTCATTTTGTTTTTAGAAAAATGATACGAAATTAGAAAAAAATCTGATGAAAATGAAGTATATCAAAATATTTTAGAAGAAACTTATAATCAGGGGTTGAAACAGTGAAAACATGAAAATAATGTTTTCAACCCTTCATTCTACTCTTTTTAAAAAATCTAGCTGAAAATAGACCCATCCGAGGGATTTAAATTAATGTTCAATTAATTAATTAAATTAATGTTTAATTAAAAAGACACGTATTGTGCCATCCCATAAATAATGTATTTTTTTGTAATTCTTTTATTTTTTTAAATTAATACGAAAACAAAAATTTGTAATCTAATTATAATGTACAGATATATAATCTATAAATAATGAAGCGTAGGCTATTTTATATTAAGAAAGTTTTGTTTATACAATTTTTAAAAATAAAAGAATTATGAACGGCTACATTATTTATCGAATCACCCAGTAGATAGAGCTACAGAAGGGCCGTTGGAGGTTCTGTCTTTCTCTTGCACCTTGTTCTTCACAGTGCATGTATCTATCTCCTTTTATAGACAGAACGTTGATCAAACAGGATCTCTCAGGATCATCGACACCTCTTGTGCAGCAAGTTAATCTACAACCTATAGTGGGTAAGTAAATGATTCGTGTTAGACTTTGATTCCCCCTCTGCGATACATGGGTTATCCAATTGTGACTTTAAACTGGAAAATAAATTTTTATGACAATATATTCAACGAACTAAATTAGGATTGGTGAGATACCATTAGGTTAACGGAATAATCATTCCGATAAATTTCTACAGAATTTATTTTACATCATTTTAAGTTTTATTTTATTAAACAGATGTTCAGTCTTACACTGAAGTGTCTCACAGCAGAAAAACAATATCTCGTTCACTGTTTCATCTTTCATAAATTTTGGTTCATCTATTTTTATTTTATTCTTAATATCAATTAAAAGAGTAAATGTTCACACAGAAAAATTTATTCTGTTACTATAAATCATCTGACATCATCAAAGTATCAAAATTGTCAATGTGTTAGACAAATTCGATTCTGTGAGAGTTTGATGAACATTACTTTGATAGTTAACGTGACGCAAAGTGAAAATCTAATTAAGTATTCAACGGAACCTAACCTCAGAAATATTAATATTCTTAAAATTAAAACAAAAGAATACCAATTGGAACTGCTTATTGTAGAATGCATTATAGATTTTACTCCCGTACACATTTTCGTGGCACACTTCGGAAGCTTCGACCGGATCGAGGAAAGAGTCTCCAACAAAAAGTTTTTGCATGAGCCGCGTGACGGTTGCCGAGTGTTGTTCTCCAATCTGGGTAGCAGCGAATTAGTCGAGGCCCGCGATGACAGCGGAATCATCCTTTGTCACGCGCGAGGTTTAACAATAATTATCTTGAGCAATTAACGAACCGATTCCCAGCCTGTAGGCATCACGGAAGTTTCCTCGTTATAAATAATTGCAAAATCTACCGGTACGAATTCCGGCACCGATGCGTCAAGTGTAGCGCGCCGTTACAACCAGCCTGACGCGACGCTCGCGTGACCCAACGTACTTTTTAACAAACGAGTTCTTTTCTAGTCGACTTTGGCCCATACTAATCACGTCCACCAGTTGGCCCGCGTCGTCCTATGCGGGTGAGACTAACACCGTTTTAATTGTATCTTTTTGTGTAGTTTTTTAAATAACTGCTACATGCAGGGTATCTTCGAAGTTTCTTAATTCAAGACAATGGAAGTAACTAATAAAGAGAACACTATCAAAGTTATAATGAAAATATTTTTATTTGTAAAAATGGGTTTCACAGTGTATGTATAATACACAACTCGAGCAATAATTTATACGTTAAACAATGTTAAACAATCAATCATATGTAAATAAATTATAATTGTAGTTTGAAGTTTACATAAATTAATACGTATACGGTATTGTAAGGTATTAAAAACCTTAGAATATGGGTACTATATAAATACATAAATAATTACAAAACTTGAAGAATTATATTATAATTGTGAGAATGGATGTATTTGAGTGATGAATGTGTGTGCAATAAATGAATGACGCGACAGTGTGTGTGAGCGCGTTTTGAATGAATGTTCAAAGCATTGGAATATTCTAGACTATATTGATTTTCTCCATATGTTAATAATGTTCTTTTGTTTAAGAATCTAGAATATTCCAAATATATGTGAAGTTAATGCATGGTGATGAAAGAATGTTCTAGAAAGTGTGCGAGTGAGACAAGAGCATCTGAGTATATAAATAGTGTGTGCGTTGTTTAATTTAGTTAGTGTTTTATTGTGAGTTGTGATGAAATAATTATACTGTTTCAAATAAAATTCTCTTTCTCCTACATAATTTATATCCGAATTCATATTTTAGGATTTGGATCACCAGCCGCGAGTTCATCAAAACTTAATAACTTTAAAATCTTCATTCTAAATACATCTTCCTAAACCAAGATTTTATATAATTATTATTAACACTTCTTTCCACTTGCATACTTAAGTTTTATTAAAGTGAAATTAAGATTCGTTTTTAATGCTAGGTCAAATGTTTTGACAGTCCGACATAGATCAAATGCTAGTCCATATACTGAAAACACAGTTAAAGATATCAATATGAACTGTGAAACAAGCATGGCTGCCATTTTCTTCCAATGTAGGTATTGTTTGCTGAATAAGTAGTTCGTAGGTTTGTTGAACTTTACACGATCAAATTTATATATTTACAGTTATTTCTGTTAACTATTTCAATGTATCCCAAAAGCAAAAGTTTACATTTAACGCAAATTATCTTGAACTAAAATTTTAACTAAAATGTAT